AGTGTTAACATTTGTCCCCAACAACACAGGACAAACAGGTCCTTCTCCGCAGCCTTCCAGTCATCTGAATCTGAGTGAGTGGGAGATGGTATGGGTGGATGAGGAATGGCTGGATCAGTGCGCAGCCCCTTATAACAAAAGCCAGCCTCTTCACACGCCTGCAATCAGGACATGCAAGGCTGTATACAACTTCTCCCACTTCACAATCTCCACCACATCTATCTTCTATCTTCTACATTTGGTATGGTTTCAAAACTCGCCCACGTAACAGGATTAATCAGGTGGATAGCTCTGAATGTCCACGTTTCTCTCTCTCGCCAGTGTTATTTCATGAAGTAAGACAGATTAGTTGTATCTCAAGAGGATCATGAACACTAATGTAGAAAATCAATGAAATACAAAAGTGGAGGCATAAACTAAGACAACTGCTAAATATTTCAAAAACTGATGTCAGATGTTGACATTTTTAAAAGACGTCTAAAAAAGACAAAGATGTCTGACATATAAGACAAGTGTACAAAGTGCAAGACAGTAGCTTGCACATTAGCCTGGGTAAATTATTCCCAGTTATTGCTGCTTAAAAATCAATCAGTAAAGGTACATATACAGAATGCAGTTTTACTTTTACTATATTCAAAAGTGAGCCTGACAGCAGGCAATGCTATCCAACAAATATGCAAACTACTGTCAGTATAACACACAAATCAATAGCCTGGGCACCCGGGACAAGCAGATTACATATTCTAGCTATTAGTTTTTTATTCATAGCTGCCCGGCAGACAAGTAGGTTTAACACAGGAAACAGTAAAACCCTAATCTTTATTGGCACTCTTTTTATTGGTATGTATTTTTAAACTTCACAGTGGTGCAACACACCTCAACGCTGTAACAATACACATGTTTCCAAATCCTGAAGTCTGCTGTACTACACACATCAGCTGAAGTGCAATCTGGCTGCTGGTAGAACTATTTTTACTAGGTTTTTACTAGGATTAATTAGTGTGCAGGGCTTAAAGGAGATCTTTTCCGAATCAAGAACACAGACACAAGCCAAACTCAAATATCTTTTACATGCGATTTGAGGACAGAACACTACATCTCACAGCCGAAACACCGGCACAAATACAACGTGCTACTTTACAAACTTTGAGAGGGTAAACATAAACCAGTGTTTCCCCGCTATTATATTAGGGGCGCCCCGCCCCCCCAGAAGGTCAAGTTCATTTTTATTTAATTTTATTTTCTATATAGCGCCAGATCACAACAGAATTCATTTAAGGTTACTTTTCCTATAGAACAGGTCTATACCTTGTTCGTTTATTAAACAAACTAAAAAGCCTTATGTTATTTATCTTATTTACACGACGGCACGTCATTTCTGTCTGTACATGTCCGCTCGTTTACAATTCTCTGCTCTGTATCGCGTGCGGCGGAGTTCCGCCCCGATGCACGCGCGCGCACACACACACACACACACACGCAGACGCGTGCGCGCAAACAGGTGAGCAGTACACTCCCACCAGCGGACAGAGCGCGCGCGTCGGAGAATATGTCGTATCAACCACCTGAAAAACAACAAATGCTACAAAATGTGATTTTGTTTGACAGCCAAGACAAAGTACTGCTACATACTACAGCTGAGATTTAGATCTATTCCATGTGCCGCCTATCACCAGATGTTGCTCGGGGTATAACTAACTAGTTATGGCAGGGTCTGCCTCACTCTTACACACCCACAGCAGGAGCAGGCACCTTGTTTCGGTGTGGAAGCTGTAGTGAGAGATTGATGTGTTTAGGATGCAGGATGCAGGACACTAACTCATGACCTGGGCTTCTCTTCAGAGCTGCTGTTCAGTGAGGGAGCAGCCTCTACAGAGTGGGGAGGGTGTGTGTAGTGTGTTGACACTACACAGTGAGTTGGAGGGTGAAAAATAAGGCAATTCGGCTGGGGAGAAATGAGAAATAACAGGGCAGCCTGGAGTGAATCAATGTAATGGATTTACGTTCAAATTGGATGGAGAGGGGAATGGACGAGGAATGAATGGAACCCAATGAATACATAGGCCTCAGTGAGCAACGGCAAATAACTTGCCAAGAAAAAAAAATAAAAATTTACAGATGGTCAACTCAATTTATGGAGAGAGAAGTGCTGAAAACTAGATGGTGTTATGGGACAAACAGCTGACTGAGAATGCTGCTTATGTAAATTTTGATTAATTATATCATGATGAACCAAGAATGTTGATCAATGCCTGAATCAGGTTGAAATTTCAGTTTGAGGAAGCATTTACCTCTCGTGGAAAATGAAAATAATCTGGGGACACATCAGACTATTAAAGACCAATTAAGGGGAAAAAGTATCAGACCGCTGACTGGAGGATCAGATTGATCAAATTAATGGAGAAGTAAGAAAGAACAGCAGGAAAGGAGGAGCAGCTGTGTGTATCTGAAGCACAGAAAGAGACAACGGTTGAGAGATGGGGAGCAAGACACAGAATAATAGGCGAGAGTGAAAAGAAAGAAGAGAAGAAGAAAAATTGTGTAAAATCAAATCATTTGTTTACCTGTGATGATAAGGGACTCGTTGTGTTCCAATGCCTCAGTAAAAAGACGTGAGACAATAAGTTCTGGGTTGATGAGAAAACGAATCTCCTCCTGGACCAAACCTAGTCCTGTTACCCCTCCTCCTACCATCCTGTTAGCAAAGTCCACCTGCAGAAGGAACACACACACACACACACACACACACACACACACACACACACACACACAAGCCTTGAATGACAACGATAACAAAGATCATTATCCCCTGGTTGCTGCGGTCAGAGTTTACATTTCTTAGCCATTATTCACTTACAATCAGCCATCATGAAGATCCCATCATGAAGATAGGCCAAATCCCAAATGGATTCCTATTCATTTTCTTTGTGCCCTACATAGGGTATTACATATACATGCATAGTGTAAAACTTCATTTGAGATTCAGTTTGATAAATTTTGCACTTAATCTTCTCTTTAAAAAAAAAAAAAAAAAAAAAAAAAAAAAAAAAAAAAAAAAAAAAAAAAAAAAAAAAAAAAAAAAAAAAAAAAAAAAAAAAAAAAAAAAAAAAAAAAAACTTGGCAAGATTGGTGGCACGTAGGGTGAAAGTTGTAACTGTGCATTTTCACTAAAGAGTGTACACTTGTGTTTGAGTGTGTGCCCTGCCATAAAACAAATACACCAGCCCTTATTTCTGAAAGATGTGTTTTAAAAAAAAAAAAAAAAGAAAGAAAGAAAAAAAAGAGCAGAGTTCAGCATCTGATTCCTGAAACATTCACATCAACACAAGCATTTCTCACTGATCAGGTGATTCAGTTTGGGGTCAGGATGCTGAAACTACTGACAGACTGTCAGCCCATCCCAAGCTTCCAGAAATATCCATCAATCCGGCCCGCAGGACCTCAGACCCACCCCAGTGGGATCTCCCAGGGTTGCTCATGTGTGTGCATCAGCTGTCAGCATATGCTCCACCCGGACAGAGGAGAGGAGAGAATGGGTGAGCTGGCATGACAAAGGTAGACACTCTGGCTGCAGTGGTGTCAAGACACTAAAACCCAGAGTGAGGCAAGGCTGGAGAACATCAACTCTGACGTCATGTGACAACACAAAAACTGCAGTAAACGCATCAGCTGCAATTCAATAGCAATAGAGAAAACACAGCACCGAAGAGTTAACTTCAGAAGCAGGAGCGTGTCCATTTTTACATTTAGAATGTATGCTCATTTTTAAATGAAACACTAATACAGCTGGTCAAGAAAGTACAACAATGTCAACCCACAACTTTCATGTAATGAGAATCTACAATACAGAGTAGGTTTGTGAATCTTTATATTAACAATACATCCAAATTTATTAAAAGCCAAAAACCTTGTCACACATAGGTATAGCGTACTGTAGCAATATCCTTCACAGTGTGACTAAAAACAGATTGGCAAGAGAAATGAAGATCTAGTCTAAAAATGAGTTGCACTCCTGTCAAATCCAAACTGAATACAACAGTTATAAAATATTACATTAATACTCCAATATTTTTGTCCTGATCTCTGGGATTTGGTCAGAGAATAGCTTTGGTATGTTTCCTTGTATTGAGGAAACAAAATAAACAAACAGAAAACTTAGTTCAAGGGCAGTCAAAAAAACATTTATACACAATTTGCTAGGAAACTTTCATGAAGCTTTGGATAATTCCTGCCTTCAGAGATGGAACTACTTTTTCAGATGGAAGAGTCTGTGGTTATGTGATACACTGAGTAGTCAAATACTGCCTCATTGCACATGTATACCACAAAACCTCAAGGAAAGTGTATAATGAGTAAATCTCTCTCATTGTTAACGTATTTTATTGACAGAATTAAACATCTGTTCTAAGACCTGCATTATAAGTGTAATGAAGTGCAAACGTCTCAGGCACATGCAAAGAATTGCTGTAGAGCAAAGATGCCTTCAAAAATAATGAAATTTAAATGTTTGGTGTGACGACGCTTTGCAAAAATAGTAGCCTCAGATACAATGTGTGCAGGTTTATAAGGAAATTAGCAGTAAGTTTTACTGAGCGTCTTGCAGAACCAGCCACAGTTCTTCCGGAGACTTTGTCACACTCGTTTCTTATCTTTGCAGCAAAACACAGAAGCCTTCATTATGTTTTTTGCTGAAAAGTGGTTTCTCACATAATATGATGCTTTCCTTACTGACATACCAACCTTTTTTTCTGTAACATTTAATGCTGTAAGACTAATGTTTGGAAATCTAAAATGTTTTTGTACTGACTCGATAATGTGTTGTAGTAGTTCTTCTTTCGGCTGCTCCCCTTAGGGGACGCCACAGCGGATCGTTGGGCCGCATGTTTGATTTGGCACAATTTTTGCGCCAGATGCCCTTCCTGATGCAACCCTCCCCGGTTTTATCCGGACCGGCACTGGGTCGACAGTGGGTGGTGAGCAACCGCTGTGACTGGGGTCGGTTCCCTGGCTGGGAATCGAACCCAGGGCGGAGCAGTGAGCGCGCCGTGGCCTTACCACTAGTCCTCCGGGGACTATACTGACTCGATAATGTAGAAGTCATAAAATATATAACAAAGTTTGTACTAAAAAAATAGGGTGCCTAAGACTTTTGCACAGTACTGTATGTGGTAATTAATATCTACGATAATCACAAGTTACAGAGATGCTGTACAGATTTAATGTTGAAAACTATTTTAAGACATTCCTACTTTTTAAATGAAGAGGATATTGCATGTTTATTTGATTAGGAGAAATGAATAAAGCATACCCTATGTATGCAGTACAGTGCTCACCTGCAGCATGCCGTATCCCTGATCCTCAATGGTCCCGTCACAGGTGATATGAAGTCGTGTGAGCCGGGTAGCCAAGCTGAGAGGAAGGAGAATTACAAGAACACAGTGTCATAGATGCAAAACACCTCAGTCCTCTAGGCAACCTAAACTGCTAAAAGAAGAGGGATCTGGGTTGAATATTTGGAGGAGAGGGCAGATGAGTTGAGTATTTGTTTAGAGTTTACACAAAATCTGTGTCTCTTATTATCATGTGGAAGTTGTTCTGCGTCTCAATAGCAGTGTTGTAGTGTAAATGCTGGGTCTCTCACACAGTTAATTATCTACTTGCTCAGTTCCCTCCTTACTTATGGCACTTAGTACTGTTAGGCATAACACAAGGTCCTCTCTCCATATTCAATTAAAAAAGTTCCCAAATCCAATACCGCTTTTAGTTTGTCATCTTTTTCAGACTGCTGCTGCAAAGCACTGGAATACTTTCCAAAAAAATTAATTAATTAATTAAGATTAAATTAAAACTGGACAAATTCATTGTGTTTTCCAGAATTTTCCAGAAAGTAATATCAAATACATTTTAAACATGTAACCTACAAGTTTTCTCTCTAAGTAAGCACTTTTATAAAATTTTTTTAATCTTGTGCTTTTTTGCATTTTTTAAATTTTTTTTTTGCCTTTTTGTATTTGGTTTTGTTTTTTTTTTTTTTTTTTTTTTTTTTTTTTTTTTTTTTTTTTTTTTTTTTTTTTTTTTTTTTTTTTTTTTTGGTACCATTGTAACTTATTTTTTCTTCCCCCTTTCCTTCCATTTTTGTATTTCTATCTCCTTCAAGTGGCTTTGCTGCTTGCCCAGAAGCCACTGCAAATAAGAATGTGTCCTTAGCGTGTGTAAACCGTCACAGGTTAACAGGCTGACAGGTAAACAGGGTAACAAAAGATCTTGCAACACTTTTCATTTTTAAACTAATAACAATGCAAAATCTTCACTGGCATCTCCACATTTTTCAAAATATATGTATATAAGGCAACTACATACACATTGTAAGTAAGGCTCAGGAGGTTAAATACTGAGCAAACCACACGTAAACACATTTCAGTAAATGATGGTACAGAGGAGAGGGCTGGAAAAAATCACGTTTTTGTGATTAACTATGAAATATATAAAATCTTTGCTCCAGTTTAATTACTAATGGAAGCTGCAAGACTGCAGCCGAGGTTTTTACTGTAGTTCCAAGCACAAGCATTTCAATGGTCTGAGATTTTAATAAGCTAAAAAGACAGGCAGATCGACCTGATGTAAAGTACATTTTTACTTCCTGCTCCTTCACTCAGCTCCCTGGCTGCACTGCCTGGGGAAGCAATTGGCCTGAGAGTCTACACAGTGCCACGCTTCATTTATCAAGCGAGCAGTGGGTTTGAAGGCATGATCTCTCCGCGTGGATGGCACAAGATATGAGTGAGACTCTTAGACTGGTACGCATGAAAAAAAAAATCAAATTAGCTTTTTTGCTTCATAGGTCAAAACAGTCATTTTACACCACATACTACATTTGTATTAATATTTGAAAGTACCTTTCCCATTTAGGAAAACTGTTCAGACTTTGTCTTGTAAATGTCACGAGACCAGTGGGCTCTGAAGGTGAAACAACAAGCATGTAAGTGCAAGCTTCAATAATGTGAAAACGTACAGATAATTTACTTAAAAGTCTGAATGCCAGGCTTACTTTCTGTGGTGACTCTTCTGAAATAGCAAAGAAGAGTTTTGAGTTTTTCAATCTTCTGATGAGCGGATCCCTCAAACAATCTGCAAGCAAAAGAGACAATACATGCTATTAAAGGAACTCAAATAAGTGTAGGAAAAAAATGACAGTGGCATCTTGAGACAAGATCAGTTCTGCTGACCATCCTGATCGAGAGGCATCAGTCCAGGCATCCACACAGTACCTCACACACACACACACACCTTAACAATCCTAATGCTGCTTGCTCATGGAGCACACTTCCCCTCAGTCAGGACAATAATCACGAGGCTGCTGTCCTCAGGCTAAACGGTGCCCTTGTGTAACACGGCACAAAAAAACGACAGCCAGAGGAACACAACTGCCTTCCCATAAAAGCCATTAGGGAGCTACTGGTCCACTTAATGTCTGAAATAGCCAGAGTTAAGGTCTTTCTAGATGGCTTTCTGTATTTAGAACATCACAGTCTTCCAGCTAATCATGCACTATCATTTATTGCTTCTGCCACTAAACTGAAAACGCATTCCAAGAATAAAAGAAGAAATAAAAGAATTAAAAGGAAATAAAATAAAATAAAATGGCAAAAGGAAATGATGCATTAAAAGCCCTTCAGAAAATATGGTATTTTTTCTTTATAGAATTCATTTAGGTACATGGCTCAGGAGGCAAACTGCCTTCAGTGCAAGATAGCTGCTGGTGTATGGAAATAACCAGGGATTAAATACAGCCTCAGTGATCTCAGGATCATAAGTCAGTTACTGTATTTAGCAAAATCCAAGACCTGTCAAAATGGTACGAATTTTATAAACATGAAAGATTCCTGTAATACCATTCTTTCACTCATGTATTCATTCAGCTTTAGTGATCACTTTAGTCTGATTACGATCGTGGGGAATCCAGAGGCTATCCCGGGAAACACTTGGCATGAGGAAAGGATGCTAGTGCGTTGCAGAACACCACGGGCGCACACACACACACACACATTCACACACATGAGCAATTTAGTGCTGCCAATCCCCTTACTGGCTTTTTTTGAGAGATGGGAGGAAACCAGAGAACCTGACAGACATTAACCCAAGCTCAGGATGGAACCAGGAACCCTGGAGCTGTGAGGCTGTAACGCTACACACTGAACTACAGTGCCATCCTAATACCATTCTGATCCAGCTAATTTTAGAAAATTTTAGAAAAGACCAAGCTGACATAAGTAACGTAAGTACAGCCCTAAAAGACCACCACATACCCTAAAATCAAGCTTTTCTCCTTAAGAAATTTTGCACAAGAGACAATGGCCATTCTTCAGTGGTGTCCCTTAATTTCCCAGGGAAAAAAAAAACTGTACTGGCATGCCAATATTTAGCATAATATAACTACATCTCAGAGTGCCAGTCTATCCTTCATGTCACAGAAGGAAAAAAAAAAAAAGACATTGACAGGTCTGCCAAATATGCAATCTCTAAATTGCCCAGTGCTCGACTGCGGTGCAGCACGAGCGAATAAGTAAACTGATGGACAGTCATTCAATTACAGTGGGCTGCACCATAACGATCTGCATGTCTGGAATCTCTGCTGTCTTTGGGAAACTCGCTTGCTATTGGCTGGCTCTTGCCATGGAGCAGAATGAGAAGCTGATGCACTGGCTGAAGCCTGTGTCCCTTTGCTGCGCTCATCTAAATAAGCCATCTGACTTAATGCTGCAATCACTCAGGCAATCACAATCCAACCCACTTTAGCCATTTTTAGCCAGGGGAGATAAAAGCCAAAACAAAGAAATGACTATAATGGGTAGTGTAGGGTAGTGCAGCAGTGTCTGGCTTTGTCCGTGTGCAGTGTCTAAGAGAAAAGACTTGAAGCAACATGCTTGATGGATGCCGTTTTCTATCTGCCTAAAATGAATATCCTTCTTCACTACACAAAATGCTTTATTTACACATAGACCAGTGATATCTACCTGCCCAGGGAATGCATTTTAATTAACTTAAAACCAAAGGTGGTACATTAGATTCCAAGAGAAACTGGATAATGCTTAACAAGAAATGTGGAAGTACTGCTGGTATCTAATGATATCTTAACAACATTTTAACCCGTGTGAATTCAATAAGCCTCGATATTATTGCGAACAGACACCACAAACATGATCACCTGGTAAAAGTGGATTCAAGAAAAATATAAAGATTTAAAAAACTCACATAACCACCTGCAAAAGGGAAAATGTAACTGATTACAGGGTAGAAATGGAAAAGAAAGACGAAGAACTGAATATGTATGATAGTGAATTCAGACTGGATAGAATGTGTGGAATGTTTCATAGAGAAATAGCAGATAGATATCTGTGCACTGTAGAGAACTCAGTTACACATCAGTGTGTGTTAGTTAGCCTTTAAAGGCTAACTAAAGTGGTTTAATATATAGCTGTAGCATGGGACAGAAAAGACCCTTCTACAAAATTCCTCCTACAAGCAGAAAAACAGTGATTAATCCCCCCAAACGTAGAGCTACAGAGCCGCTCAGGTGTCCTGGTGGTTATTTTTTTAAGACGTGGTCATGAATTAATATACTGAGCCAACAAGATAATATATTTTGGTAATATGGCACTGATCTGATACCAAGTACAACAGCAAAAAATGACAGATCGGATATCAGAGAAAACATATCGGATATCGGATCCTGTAACAAACAAACATTCGAACTGGAAAGAAAATGTATCTTTGGAACTGGAAACGTTCACACGTATATAAATAGACTTGTCTGTTTTCTTTTGTCAGGATTTGTTTTATTATATTATCGATGATTGTGGCATGAAATGGTAACTGAGAAATCTGAGTTTCAGTTTAAAAAAAATTCAAGCTTAGTAGTTCTTAAAGAACTATGGAAAAGGTGTCGATATCGGTATCAGAAAAGAAAAAGTGATATCGTGACATCTCTATATTTAGGCCATGAGATGAGCTTCTTATGTTATAGCCACAATTGACGTTTCTCGGGATGTATTGAATTTCATTGTACACAATG